TTCTGAACTATGCCCTATTAAATCTCCATCTACTGATAGCGCTTATCACTTGAACTCTAATCAAGTAGTCTGTATCCGCGAACATGATTCAAACCAACAATAACTTCATAGACTGATGCTTTATCTAGGTTTAGCAGTGACCTCCCCAGCTTTATTTTAACCTATTCTCACTCCAGCCAACTTAAAATATTGAAGTAGGAGTTAGTTGATGGATATGTAGTACGTATCACAACCACCTCACTCTATCTGGAACCCCTCTTGGGCTACTGCTGGTCCCAAGCCCGGATAAAGAAGGAGGGTTGGGCATGAGGTTAGCGACCTGATTCCGTAGAAAACTAACTTGCCAAAAAAATGCTAACCAGAAAAAATAATTCAAACCATCTAAGCTCTGCCCTGGGAGTTAGAAGGTCTTCATTTAGACCCCTCATGATGAAAGCTGAGTTCCTTCGAAAGTCACGAAACTCATGCCCCATCTTACAACCAGAGCAACCATCAATTTAGGTACATGGAAAAGTAAGTCACAACCACCTCAGTCGATAAAGATTCTGTAAGTGCAGAAATATAGTACACCAATATAATCTTAGACTTATTAAATATAACTACAACCTAGATAATTAGCACTGATTTTATGTAAACTGTGTTAATATAAGATAAATAAAGTTGGTTAAATGATACTAACATAATGATTATATAATCTAATGTTGGATAGAATAACTTCATTTGTAAATCTCATTAGTCAAAATGAATACAGAAATAGACAGATTATGATTTCAAAACAAAACACTCACCTGTAACATTAAATCCAATATTATTAGATCTGTCGATTTAAAATTGATAATGATTAGTTAACATTAGAATAAGGGTTTATGGAGATTATAATGATTTTAATGGTTGAATTCACGATTTAATCTAAATTAGACCACCATTGCAAACCTGGAAACACTGGATGGCTGTTTCATCCTAGTGTGGGACTTCTCAGCAGTGTGCATCCATGATCCCACAACAAAGTGACTCGAACTCAGAACTTTCAATCTCATGCGTGAACATTTAATCTCTAGACTATTGAGCCGGTAGGTATCCAATGGTGTTAATGTTTAACTTTAATCAATCCATAATCTTGAGCAACCATTCATTCATTATTTGAGGTAGATACCTGTCTCTAATCGACATGGACTGGACAGACAAAAAACAATTTAAATAATCTTACATGATAGAATGTGAATGATTAACATTTGGTCTGTAAATACAATAGATTCTACGTAAAATCTTAGAAAGGTTCTTAATGAATTATTTAATTTACACTGTTTAGTTTTTATATTTTAACTTAGCCAACAATATAATGTGTATAATCAATTATTCAATGTTATGGATATTACATAATATGTTTTCTTTTTATTCAAGAGACATCAGGGCAAAGAGTAATCTATTCAACCTTTGATCATTTGTTGCTATACTTGTAACTAGTAAATTATTGAAGCCAATTAAAATATAAATTAATAAATAATAACATAACTTATCGGATTGGTAAACTTTGACTTTGCTATGTATAGCACGTTATTTGAGAGTAATTATGTATTAAAAATGTATTAAAAATCAGTACAATCTCCAATGAGGTCAGAAGACATTCATTCTTAATTAGTATCTAGGTATGTAACTGATCGCTCTCGTTTTAAGGCTCCATATATATTTTAAAATAAAATAAAAAATTATAACTAAGACAATTATAATAGGCCATGTGGACGTTCTTTTCAGTTTACATCACAGACTGACTATAAACTAGACAACTGTTGGGAACTAATAAGTGCTTGATTATCGTTTTATCCTATTATGTAACTTTTCAAAGGTACACAATCATACCCTTGTCAGAAATAGAATTTAAGACTTGGAATTCTCGTGGAGAGCTCTTTATCTTTCAATGTTTTAGGCACGACGCTAATTTCTGCTCACGTATCTACTAAGAATTGTGCCCCTGTCGTATGGTCCTGTATGTAAAACAAACGACTGTTCCTAGGAGTTACGCCTGCTGACGTAGTTGTCGCCGACAACCCGCTGGATCGTTTTTAAGTTGTGTTATTTTAAATCTACAAAGTGGTCTACGCTTTCTAGTCCTGTTGCCATGTGTTTGATAATACCAACACATATCGAAGGAGCTAAGCGTCTCTTCGAGGATGATAGGCTTCTAGTGAGCAACCTGTTTTGTGACCAACTTTGTGGTCTGTCATTCTGAGTCGACTTTGTCAATATGTGGCATAAAATACTTAACTCTCTCTGTAGCGTATCGATCCTGTCGTCTACCGTTGTGTTGCGTAATTATGGGTCGCTGACTCTAAAAGGTGGGATAGAAATATTAAGGGACCTCACGGACTGCGTTTTAGAACAACTTAACTTAGCGTACTCTGACATGTGTACAAACAATAAGTAGTACACAAATAAAACAATGTATGTGTAAAGAAGGGAAATAAACCGACAATAATAGTCATAATAACAAACGATAAAATGTTATAACACAGAATAGACTGACTGAATTACACCAGTGTATTAACTGTATGTAAAATGTTTTTATTTATTATTGTTAATGGAGTTAATTATGTCCCACAATATATATGAGATAATGTACGTGTAGTGAAAATAACGATAATGGTAATTCACAGCAATAATAATCCACAAAAGTAATCTGAATTGAGACAAAGTGCGTTGATTTTCGAATTTAGATCGTACCGTAGAAAGCTGAGTTCCATTCGCACTTTCGGCTCGCCAATTCTGTAGTGAATTATCTTTCAGATAATTCCTAAATCTTTGTTTATCATTTGTCCTGATAACTGTTATTAAATAATTACCAACGGTTTATAAATTTCAGAAGACAATACGAAGCGTTGACTACAGCTAGTAAGATAGATATGTGTGAAGGCTGTAACACGTAATCAAGAATACAGACATGATAGTAATGATACAAAGAACTGCGAATTGTTACTGTCTGAACGACAGTCTGTTAAATAAGTTAACTGAAGAGTTTGGCAAAATTAAGCGTAAGCGAACTCAAGTGTAAGGTAGGTGATATGTTCTTTTCCAGGTTGAGCGAGTTCCTCACTTATACGAAGATTGTGGAAGAAAACTAGAGGATGATTACCACTGACTCCTGTTTTGAGGGATACTTGATAACGTCTCAACACACTGAGTTGCACCACCTTTAAGTCGCCATCAGAATAGTTGCTACGCATCAATATATGACAGTATTATTTCTTTTATTAAACAAAGCCATGTCGTAAACGGATCATCCCTACTTTTTCGAACCAGTACTATCGTTATCATGTAATGTATGATACGGTCACTAAAAATAGCATTTGTGTGACACGTCCAAGTTACAGGAGTAGGTTTTAGATGATGACAATGACCGGATTTTTGCCACTGTGTCTGAACACACTTTGCCGAATCTCCGCATTACTAACACGGTGTTTCCACTGAAGATCAGCAATCTTTTATAGACGGCGATGACCAAAAAATTTTTATCATTCTTAATCTGGACAGTTAAGTTTTGTAAGCAGAGAGCAGAACTACTCACACAGACGCGTCTTAAATGCGATGTCATTGCAAGACTAACATAACGAAGAGCTTATAGCCTGGTTGGGCACAAGCTAATCTGCCTTCGGAAGATGCAAAGTAAATCCAATGCCTACGTACGCTTATTACCAACTGACAAAATCAAACCACCACACAGTAAGATAACACCCGTGTGCCCGAGGTAGTAAAGTTTTTCTTCAAGCAAAACCACTCTATTCCCTCCGCTTAGTCACTCAGACGATACTGGCAGTGACTCCTAAAGTTATCTCCCTGTTTATTGCTTAACTTACTATTGCTGAAAAGTTCAACAGAATTCATTGACTTTGAAGAATACTAAAATATTTTTTTATAACTGCCTATTGTACATTATATCCTGCATATATCATCAAGTATCTCCTATTACCCCACCCCTTTGCTGGCTTATGAGTACTGACTAGCATGAAAACCTAAGTCAGAGATGACTTTCTGCCGATCAAATCAAAATGCTAACAACGAAATGTAGTGTACACGATTTCCTGTTATTTAGACTAGTAATAATCATCATATTGTATGTTGGTCGACAGGACTTATTCAGTGTTAAGAACTAGTCAATTATAACTTTGATCGAGGTAGAGATTGATAGCTCAAGTCAATGATTCTAATAGAGTTTCATTCCTTGGACTGAGTGGTTCAATCGTAGAAATTCCATTGTTCTTTAGAAAAACAGCATCTTGTGATTAATACTTACAGTCATGCAAGTTTCAAGTCTGATTGGGGAGTTGATGGTATAAAACATTTACATAAACCGATCCCCATTGCATACAATGTGGATTTGTCGTGGGAATTAGTATTATTGACAATGGTGGAGAATTCAACAGATATGACCATAAAAAGTCTCTCAAATATTATGGTTATAATCTAATCACTCGGTTTATGTACCTGGTTTTTAATCGCAGTTTTTAAATGAGGGTTATTAGGTGTAACAGCGTTCGAAAATGAGACCTACAGACTTTAACCTGAATGCCTTTATCACTAACCCAACGTTTCTATGTACATTTGATTCTCAAACAAGCATAAACAGATGTTAGTTGGGGTTTAATTTCAGTGAAACACTGATTTAGTGATTAAGGTCTTCGACTTTCAATCACTAGCTTGTAGGTTCAAGGCTTATTCCACCTAATTTGGCTTAATCAGCCGGGAAGTATCAATGGTCTTAACATATATGAAGCGTGAGTCAAAGCTGAGTATACGAATTATGTATTATACTATTATATATTATCTTCAATGATTAAGGTACGAAACCACTTGATGATGAACAATTACAAGGTTAATATCAAAATAAGTATATAGCTCTATCCACTGATTAACACTAAATCTACAGCCAGTATGACCACCATAAGAATCTCAATAGTATGGATGAAAAACTCACTACATGGTAATTCATTTCATAGTAAACGCAGAATAGGCCAAAAAATATATCAATAATAATTGTTAGAAATAAATACAAATGTACAAAAGTCAACAACAGTAAGTGGAGAGCGGAAGGGAAAGAGAAGTAGCAATGTCTGAAGTCAAATCAAGTATCTACATGACGGAAAGTAATGGATAATAATAGTAATACATTTCATCTTAAGAGAAAACAATGACGAACAATCGTAATAGTTTATTTGCAAATCCCAGTTTGATGTTCGAATCTCTCTCGTTTATTGTGCGTTTTACTAAAAAATTAGAAAAAAAATGGCGAGAACAGCAGTTATTTTTAATAATGAAAGTTATAATTTTAATGCAGTTCATGAAGCCGTGGTTACATGTTTAAGATGTTCGACGACTTTTAACTACTAAGTCGTAGGTTTGAATACCACTTCGTTTAATTTGATCTAAGCAACCGAGTTTTAAAACTAGCCCTAATACTTGATCTGTGACTTAAAACCAAGTACACAAATCTGTAATTGATAAGCAATTGTATATTAATCATAGTCTAATACAATTTATTTACTAACTATAGAATTATGATGAAATAATATCGGAGATTAATGGCTCAAATGAATACTTTCGATAGTGTTGCGTTTTCTGAGTTAGGTGTTGATGATGTCGTCTAGAATGATAATGAAAATATTGAACATTAAATCAACCAGTTCAAATAATATAACATTACTAATACAGCTTATGTGTTCAGCCCAAACTGACATATGTGAAGAGCGAGGTACAAAAGTATGACTTATTACTTAGAAGCTACTACTCCATGTAATTGTTATATAATGTTTTAAGTTGATTCAAAATGATTAAGAAAATGTTTTATTAGATCAACAACTATCTACGATCTTAATGAACTTGGATCAGATTGTTCAAGTTTGAATTAAGTAAAACTACAGTTATTCATGTGGTGTATTCTTGAATATTTAGTCAATCAGTTGCTAATTATCATCATACCATATTATAATAATCACAATAGTATGAGTTAATTTTAACTCCGCCTGGAGTCCCTCCGGGGGCTACTGCCGGTCCCAAGCCCGGATAAAGGAGGGTTGAGCATGGGGTTAGCGACCCCATCACGTAGAAAACTAACTGGCTAGAAAAGCGCTAACCAGAAAAAATTATTCAAAGTATGAGTTAATTTTAAGTACAGAAAGAGAAAAAAAGAAACATCAATTTGTTTAGAAACAAACCACAAATCACCATCCCGATCAATGATACTACAGAGTTAATGAAACTTTTTTGAAAAACAGTGGAATTTCTTTATTTTACACGACATACATTATATAAAGACATGAAACTAAGGTTATAGAAACTTGACAAAACTTATGATATATTAGTCTAATCACCCTTTAGGATACTCTTTAATTATAATAATAAACTAGTCTGATTTTGATTGCTCAAATCATCAACAGAGGTTAACAGATGTGAAGCATTCCAGCTGCCCTCTGATTCTACCTACTGTTTTTGTTCAGATTGTTGAGGTTCTAAAACTAAATAATCATTTTTGCATTTCAGAAACAAACATAAATAACAAAAGGTTCAGTTTGGTGAGTATATAAGGTGGTTTTTCGCGGTGATCGTACTATCTTGAATTCCGTAAAGTTTCTATAACCTTAGTTCTTGTATTTATTGGATAAAATAGGGAAATTACTGTTTTCTTAGGTATTTAGCTGGATGAAAACTGGTTCTTGTGATCAGATTGATTTACAATGCTACGTGTTTTGATAAAATATGGTTTCATACACACATTTCTCTTTATTACCTTGAAGTGAGCAAGAACAAAGATTTGAGCAGAATATCATGAATTCATTTTATTTCGTTTGGTTACCGTCAGTTGTTTACAACTTGTGATATTTAACAATCATAATTACAAAATGAGTTCAACTTACTTACATGAAGGAGTTTAGTTGGAAGTTATGTTAAAGACACATCAGTGTAGTATAGAAAAGATGTAAATAAATTTAATGGACATATCTTACGTAAAAGAATATTCTGCAACCTTGACTGTAACAAGAGTTCAAAAGGCTAGAGTAAACGCTAATAAGAATAAAATGAGTAAAGCTCAGTTACTAATCTAGAAGACGGTAGAAATAAAAAGACGTTGGCGGTAACATGAAACGGGTGTTTGTCGACCTTTGATCGGGTTATTGAACATGTTGTTTTATACATAATTTATAGTTTAGCTGCTGCGTAAGTCCTGACCAATGCAGTGTTAAGCCTTCTGATGATTGTGCTTGCGACGTCATCACCTTTGAAATTGAGATCTGTAAATAGTGACTTTTTATTGACTGTATTCACACCCGTCTTGTTTTCTCTAGGATTTTTATATTTAGTGAAAATTCCCATTTTGCCATTTGGTAAATAAAGAAGGAACGAATTGAGCGAAGAAATTTCTTTTCAATTAGTTTTTCATCATGGTTCTACACTAATATATATGTGCTTTACTATAATAATATAATACTCATCGAGTGGATACGTTACGTAATAATTACATAATGACATTTAAATTAACATTGATTAATTGGAAGAAAGAGGATTATTAATATTCAAACTGATCAAGAAGTTGCTAAGTTGCGTAATGTAAGAAACAAAGAAGGAACAGAATTTTAATTTAAATGTCATTATGTAATTATTACGTAACGTATCCACTCGATGAGTATTATATTATTATTGTAAAACGTATATATATTAGTGTAGAGCCATGATGAAAAACTAATTGAAAAGAAATTTCTTCGCTCAATTCGTTCCTTCTTTATTTTTATATTTGTCAACAAATTTCTGTGGGTGTCAGTTGTCTCTTAGGTATTTTTAATCCTTCTTCTAGACTGTCGGTGGTACATATCTTTTTTACTCTATAAAAGTGTTTGACCAACACTTTCTTGTAAATGACTAGACAAAAACCATTGAAATTCGAGTGAAGACTATCAAAAGTACTTTTTCGATAAACCGAATGTTGGATTTACCCGTCTTCCCTCCATTGTATGGCAATATCAAGAAAGTGGAACATGTCGTCCTTTTCGTGTTCCATAGTAAATTGTATGTCGGGATGAGCATTATTGAAGAGTCCTAACAGGCGGATTACATGCTGTTTACTATTGCAGACAGTAAGTGTGTATTTTCAAAACATTTTGTTATTGTGACCTTTAAATATCGCAGGTTGTAAGCAGCTGACGAGAACCAAGCAAAATAAATTGAATTCATGCTATTCTGCTAAAAGCTTTGTTCCTCCTCTCTTTAAAATATGACTGTTGGTCTATTTAATTATATTTATAACCAACAATCTTAGGTTATATGTATACAACGTACTTGAAACACCGTTGGCAAAAATTATCGTCACATTCTCTACACGAAAATTCAGCAACTCCATCACACATATAGCACGAAGGAAAATTTTCCTTTTCAGTAGAATCATCATCCAGACCAAAATCAACGCTACATTTTGAATCAATCCGTGCTTCTTCAATGTACTAAAAATGTAAAGTGTAATATAAACAATAAGGCAGTCGACCTTAGTGAGAAAACTAATCAGAATGTGCCAGTAAGATGACTTCAAACGTAAAGAAAGACTAGTTATGAGGTTAGTACTTTGATCACTGCCTACTTTACAATTATTCCCCAGACTACATATTAAATTGTTGTATTGAATGTATCTTTACTAATCGAAAGTAACCCCATTTGAAAAATTGGTTGTTTTGAACAACAGTCTTTATGAGCACGATTCTTAATACAAAACTCGTATTGGCCGCCTATTTCTGGTTGATTAACTGTAGATTAACCATATTATAGTGTGTTCTAGGTGTTTAATTTTTGTATGAGTGAAGTCCATTATTTCGGAAATTTCAACTTATAAAAAATGATGGTATTTATTGGTCAGTTTGTGAAATTTATACTGTTTCAAGTATTACAGATGAATTCGTAAACTTCAAGTTTCCGACCGCTTCCTCAATATAAAAGCTAGGTTTAAGTTTTACCATAGTACGGACTACAATTTATATTCACATTCAGTGATGCAACAATTCGGTCCATTTGGTAAAATATTGAAATGACCGAGATTTGAAATGAAAATTTGATTACGAGACGGATTCTTCTAAATCTCAAATGAATCGACTTTACGAAACAAAGCAAATGAATTATAAGATCATCTACTATACACTTTTTACCAAGTTCATCTTTGGCTGAGTTCAAACAGCCAGTTAGTTACAAACAACTTACAATCTGATAAATATATGCACCAGCTCGAATTATCGCCACACTTCAGTGTAGAGATGATATTATTAAGATAAATAATCATGGCCATTGGTCAGAACAATAACGTCTGAACTTACCAAAATGGCTTAGACCAACAGTCAATGACTTTATGGACTGATGCCATGTCTTGACAGCCCTTAGCTTTCTTCCAACTTACTCCTATTCTAGCCAACATCAAGTATCGAAGCAAGAAGTTGGGCATATGTAACGCATGTCCTGATAACGTCAGTCGATGAGGATTTACAATATTTTCGACCGATACATCATCTTTACTGAATACTTGATCAATATTCCCACAATACGAAAGCACTGTTTTGAAGACAATAATAAACAAACGTTCTTAACCTACAAGTGTCCTCTACTTTTAAAGACTACTTTTAATAAGCATGAAGTAAAATAGAGCAAACTGCTGTGGATTAAACTCGCCCTTTGATTTATTGAACTTATGAGTTGAACTGGACATCGAATTAATAACATATGTTTAAGATAAGGAATTTGATTAACATAATGCAGTCGGTCTCCAGTTTTCTAGCAAGCTATGTTACCTAAAACTCAGAAAACTATTCAGTAATATGTCTTTTTAAATAATTCAGTATTATATATTAACTGTTAGAGTATATGATTTAGATTTAAAACAATGAAACTGTGTAGATGTTAAGCCATACTTGACATTTTATTGAGCAAAAGTATATTTTAACATCTTGTGAAGTACCACAATACTGTTTAATTCGCAAATCAAGATTTCACACTAAGTATACAGCGGTAGCTTGGTTTAAGAGATAAAAACAAGTGAGTTTAGCCATAATTGATCCATGAATAACAACAACTAGTTAATTTTGCATGTTATTTAGGCGCGAGTTTACACAAATAACAAGTTCGAATTTTCTAGCACTAAAAAATTTGAATCAATTCTATTTTAAGCAAAGTTGATTATTTGATACGGTACGGTACCATATACTGAATTATTATCCCTTAACATGCTCCAGAGTAATAACATGCGATCAGAGAATTCCTTTCAAAAATATCAGATTGATAATCGATTCATAATTTTCTATTATTTCAACCAAGAAATATAATTTATGCATTAAAAACCCAGCAAATGACCGCTTTTTTTCTAAATAAATATCTGCAAACTTTACAGCAGTTTAGTATAGCATCTCTAATTCTTATAAAAATATATTTCTCCAACAGCTTATTTGTTTATTTTTATTGACTTTTTTGTATGGAACTTAACATGTTTAGTTGATTAGATACATTTGTATTAATTTTATAATTCCCTGACTCAGAACTCGATATCTTTTCTAATTACGTAATTTTTCTTTAGTATATAATACTGTGATAGTTTTCAAGCACATAAAGCTTCCTAATAATTAGTATGATGGACAAATATACGACACAAGGTATTCAGAACATGTTGTTTCTCGGTTTGAACTCAATAAAAACCAAGTAATACACCATAACCACAGAACTTATAAACGATACATTGTCCATCATCAATTAAAAACTCAGTCAGATTAAATTTGGATATATCAAGACCAACTGTAACTGAAAGTACGATTGAAGGTATGACCAACCCGTTCCACAAGTTTAGAAACTCGATCGGTCTTTGACAATGAAGAGTTTTCAGCAGAAGCAGGTTTTTCCTCAGTCAGTCCTTTGAGCTGTCGAAATCGATATTCTAAAAGAGAAACATCTTCTGCTATAACCAAAATGCTGAGAAACATAGCTTTTACTTTTGACTTGATTCTTTTTAAGGTTCTCAAACCTCTTAACAAGTTCATCAGTCTTCGGATCTGAAAGTTTATACCTAAAATAAAAATGTCTTAAGAAATTTTTATACCATTGCGTGAGGGAACTTCTTGATTAGTTTTATTAGGTTTTAGATTTGATGCTACAATAAATGCACGACTGGTACATTAACCAAAAGCAGGAATACCTTGAAGAAGCGAATGAGCAAAGTTTTTCTTCAGGGTCATTCACACTAATAGCTTATTTTAAAAAATCAGCAAATAAATTACCTTTTTTTATCATAATAACAATCCAAACATACTGGCTTGATTTTTTTAAGTTTAAACCTCAAACAACTCGAACACTGTACTGAGCCACACATTTTACAGGATTTCTGCTGACTATTTAAATTAATTTTTGAATACCTTTTTATTCGATGATGAAAACTCAACTCTACATAATTCACAAAACATATTGAAGAGTAAAGGTGGTCCACCGTCTTCACACTAGTTTCTAACGCGTAAATTGAGCAGGTCTCTAGAGAAAATTCCACACAGTGAAAAGCATAAATCATTGAATATAAAAAACTGGCTATTGAGTTCATGATTGCAACACACTGATTATCACATCTGTTTCTTAATGAGGCTCATATCAATAAACTACGGGTCATAAAATCTCACAAAATCACGCTAAGACCCAGAAAACTGTCGTACACCTCTGTTTATCCTGTAATATACTAGTTGTGCTTTGATCTCTTCTGTGGAAGACTTTTACGCTAGTCGATTTTTTAAACATCAAAATGGAGTCAAACATATTATTACACTGGTCAGCGAGAATCCGCTTTCATTTGACAGATAAGGACTCTTGGGTTTTAATATTAGGTGCTTTCTTGTAATTGTCATCAAAACTGACTACCAAATGAAACAATTTCCTAGCTAAAACAGAGGTGCTTTGGGATCTTCCCAAGCAACCAATAAATGAAAAATAAAAGCAAACAAACAAAGAACAAAGCGAAAGAACACGTAAATAAAGGGGAGATGTTGATTTTATCCCTTCACACCGGGTATTTAGGGGAAACATCAATTTTCATTATTTATTTTGCATCACCAAACAATAACCTCAAGGACATTTCCCAATATTTTCAAGAGCGGAAAAGGTCACCTCTGTTTTCAGTTTTATTTTATATTGGCAAGGACGAAACTTCATTGAGAATCCTAATATCAAAAAAATATAATAAAATCAGACGTTACGTACTCGTTCAACTCGCCCGCACATTGAATTTCAGTTTCAGTTTGGCAAGGAACAAATGGATGGTTTATGTTATATCTAATTGCATGAATCCCTTATTTAATCAACTAACACTTAGATAAGTTGATAAACGTAGCTTGAAGCATGCTTTGAGGCAAGAAGTCTCACTGTTTGATGGACGCGCTCGTTTCAAAAGGGGCAGTGATTTTTGTACTTGTTGTGATTATACTTGCTTTCGGTACTTATTGCAGCAAAAAGCATTCTTGGTCTACTTTAACTAAAAGTTCTTTGGTTAAAATTTGAATTTTTGGCTAAATTTTGTCCTAGGTACCTTTTTTTACTCCTAGACTAACACTTGTCTTCACATTGTGATCATTGTGTGTTTTAAACCTTTTAAACCTAATTACAATGGTTGGCAAGACTCACAAATGTGGGCAACCAAATTGTTTGTTCCCCGTCGAGGAGGGAATGCAGTGTGATGACTGTAAAAAGTGGTACCACAAAATGTGTCCACTCCCAAGTCCGACGGCTTACAAAAGGTGCTCGAAGCCTAACTCGCATTGGATTTGTATGTTCTGCTGTGCGGATAAAAAGGTACTAATTCAGGATTCTGTGGGCCTATTGGCTTTGGCCTGCAAGAAAAACGATGACACATGCGCTTACAACACCGGCACTGAAAGTGACGATTGTGTCAGTGTAGTAGCTGCTCTTACGCGACGCCTCAAACAACCGACTCTGACCGACGCAAAAGTGAGATCGCCGTTAACATTAACAAGGGAAGTAATACCACCTGGTGCTGACATTGATAACAATGCACCTTTAGTGGGAACCGACGAACTGGATAAAACCATCACCGTTCCAAATAGTCCGAATGTCCTGAGGGATGAAAAATGGACTACGGTACGTAGGAAACGAAACGAAAGGAAAAAAGCTGTAGGCAGTACACAGGTAGTTAGTAACTCACTGATGGACTCTCATTGTGAGTCGCATACTGCACTACCAAAATCTGATGGTAAGAGTGAAACCCATCCTGGTGTGACTGAGAAGAAAAATCAAATGACAGCTAAAACTAATGACTGTTTACTTGATAAGTCCTTGGTGGACTCTCAGACCAGTCCGCCAAAGCTCCAAAGTAAAGCTTCGTCTAACACTGTTGTGAGTCACTCACAGGACTCTGTTACAATAAAAGCTAATCGTAAGATATCAGTAGTTAATATAAAGGATTCAACGTCATGGTCGAAAGCTGTTAACACAATTTCAAAGGAAGCTAAACCCATCCCTAGTTTAATTATTTGGAATCTAGAGGAGTCGAAAGATAACGACCCTGCTAGAAGACATGCACATGACCTGCAGTTAGCGGAGTCTGTGATAAGAAACGTGCTACCTGAAGAGGTTTCAGGGGTACATATTACAAAAGTAATACGACTCGGTAAATGGGTTGGAGGCCTGACCCAACCAAGAAGAATCCTGAAGCTGGTTCTTGGGAGTTTCGAAGAAAGAGACATTATTGAAAAACGCACCAAAAACACGTGACTTAAATATCCGTATTCGACCAGATTGGCCGCTTGAGGATCGAATCAAGTGGAAGAATGCTCTTACGGAGTTGAGGACTCTCAAATTAAATGGCGAAAATAACCTTACCATTAAGGGTTTTCGGTTAGTCAGGTCTTGGAAGCCAATGCTTCCGAGGCCTGTATGGGTAGAACGATTGATTGTCAAAACATCTTAAGTGTGTGCTACACGAACGCTTGTAGTCTTAGAAATAAAGCGTCCGAGCTAAGTCTGATGGTGGAAGAATTATGTCCCGATATAATCGTTGTTACAGAAACTTGGTACACAGTAGATATAAACTGTTCTCCGTTCATTGCAGGCTATATCTGTATTAGAAGTGATAGAGTTTCAAGTCGCAAAGGGGGAGGTATAATATTTTACGTTAGGGATCACTTTCGTATACAATCAACCATATCGGAGGCTCATATCAGTGGCACATGTGAGGTTGCATGTTGTAAGATTAAATCTAGAAATGGGTTAGTGACTATAGGGGGAATATACCGTAGTCCGTCTTGTCTGGCTGACGACTTTATCCTAAGACACGTCTGTTCTTGGAGTATGGCAGAATGTTGTCTCATCATTGGGGACTTCAACGCACCGCATATCAACTGGATAGAGCTTACAGCTCCAGGTAGCGGTTTCGATAGTGACCTTTTATCTACCGTTATTCAGTGTGCACTTGTACAATGTATCACAAAACCGACACATATTGATTTGCATCATGTTCCGTCACTGCTGGACCTCGCCCTCACCCACCACTCTGAGGATGTCTTTGATATCCAGCACCTTCCTCCATTAGTGAACAGTGATCACGTTGTAATTCACTTTAATTTTAGGACACATGGTATACAATTCGTATCTGCTCCACCCCGTCCCAATATCTGGCGAGCTAATATTCCGGAAATCAGAAACCGTGCTATCTCGACCGATTGGTCGGTCGACGCGGATGGATTGATCGAAGATGAATGGAATAAGTTTAAGGCTACATTCGAGTCCGTAACGTCGCCGTTTATCCCATGGTCAGCACGTAAGCTATCACATTGCCCTCCATGGATTAATAAGGAAACCTGGAAGCTGTTAAAGCGTAGGAAACATTTCTGGGACTTATTCTTGTTGACAGGTCATGCACCATTTAAGCGTGAGTATCAAAAATACCGTAATATCTGTAAGAAAACCATAGCAAAATCCCGTACCACTTACGAACGACAGTTAGTATATGATAGCCGTACTTGTCCGAAACGATTGTTTTCGTATGTTAGACGGCGGACGAAACGTAGTGATGGTATTCCCCCGTTACTGCTACACGAAAATTCAGAATTACTAGCTGAATCAGATCGAGCAAAAGCTGAGACTTTTTAAACTATTTTAGCGAAGTCTTCTCTACGTTTATTGTAACAAATACTTGTCCCACTCACACCGAGACACCAACCATGGAATCTGTACAGATGACTGAGGAAACTGTCCTTCCGTTGATAGCTAACCTCAAACCTGGTAAGACACCGGGCCCTGACGGGTTACATCCACGGTTGCTGTCATCTCTTGCGGACATTATTTCAAAAACGCTTGCGACACTCTTCAACATGTCCCTTTCACTCGCTCAACTCCCTAGAGATTGGAAGGACGCTATAGTCAGTCCTATATTCAAGGACGGTCAGAGACAAATAGTATCTAACTACCGGGCTGTCAGTCCAACTAGCATAGTTGTTAATTTACTTGAAAAGTTAATTCGGGTTAGGTTGCTAAGCCACATAGAAATACACAATCTGTTAGCTCCTGAGCAACACGGATTTCGTAACAAGCGTTCATGCTTGACTAACTTGATAATTGCGAGAGAGGATTGGACAGCAGCCCTAGATAACGGTCTGTCTGTCGATGTGATATTTATAGATTTTAGCAAAGCATTTGACAAGGTTTCTGACGTAGGTCTTATGCAGAAGCTCACGAGCTTCGGAATAATAGGTACTGTACATGAGTGGATAGGAAATTTCTTATGTGACAGCAGACAGAGAGTGAGGGTCAAAAGTGGTGTACCCCAAGGCACCATCTTAGGCCCTCTACTCTTCCTTCTCTACGTAAATGAGTTACCGCTGTTACTTAGGTCGTCGACATTATTGTTTGCAGATGATGTAAAAATCTGGAGAACAATAAAAAGTGCGGCTGATCATCTGGATCTTCAAGATGACTTAGACGATTTAGTTAGATGGGCTCGAGAGTGGGGCTTAGAAATCAATGCTAGGAAGAGTGTACTAATGCACGTCGGTCACGGTAATAGTTACCGTTACACTATTGAGGGTAAACCTCTTCCATGCGTTCAAGTGCATAAGGACTTAGGAGTAATATTAAGTCATGATTTAAAAACAACTGCGCATTGCAACGCAGCCACTGTCAAAGGTTTTCGTGCGTTATGGTCACTTCGCCAAGCGTTCAAATCTTTTGACGAGGAAACGTTTCGAATTTTATATCCCATATATATTAGACCACATTTAGAGTACTGTATCCAAGCAGCTAGCCCGTGTCTGGTAAAGGATACTAACTCCCTTGAGCGTGTCCAGCGTGTGGGAACGAAATTAGTCAAGTGTCTTTCTAGACTCTTACGATGAGCGTCTAAAAGGCCTAAATCTTTTCCCCTTGTCGTGTCGTAGGACACACGGTGACCTTATACTGGCATTTAGTATCTTTAATTATGATTTGGGTGTTAATATGTCTTATCTTTTTGCTCCCTCCAGCACTAATAATCTCCGAGGTCATAGCAAGAAGGTTCAGAAACCAAGCTCTAATAAACTTAAAGTGAGGTCCCGTTTTTTTCATCATTGGAACGCCTTACCCGAACAAGTGGTATCAGCCCCATCAGTGAATACTTCCAAGGAAAAGCTGGACCTTCACTGGAAAGCAATGTGTCAGGATTAACACAGGTTCATCAACCTACTATCCTTATTACTGAAGACTGAAGACTGTTAGATGGTTCGGTAGGAAAGCCGATGGTGATTTGACGAGTAATTGATTCTGTGCTTGTAACAATTCTTGGAGCGTTATAATGATTTCTGCTTTTTAGAACATAGGAAAGGTGGGGCATTTAAAGATCACAACTAAATAACTTAAAGATCTTGGCTAAATAATCTTTAGTTTTTATACATGACAATGTGAATAAGTTTAGTTTATTTGATTTCAAATTGTCCAAATGACTGTAAGCGGCACAGAATAAACATTGTATTTCCGCGCCTAATAGCAATACAAGCCTACAAAATAAACCGAGAAAAGTGAAACATTATTAAGTCAGCACAATATGTTGTTCTGAGTCCTCAATAATATATCAAGCATGTGGATAAAATTAACATAAACTTATTTGGTAATTGTTTTACGTCATTATTCTCACTTTTTCTTAATTTCGCACAATTTTTAGGATTAGTCTGGTCTACTAGAGTACATTTTAGTTCGTCAGTCCTGCGTTCAAACCAAATACTGGCAGTTCGGTCGTTACATCTAATCTTATCAAGTATGAACCACCGTGAGGTAGATCTGGATGACTCAATCAACTGTTCTGCTTCTAGTTGCATCAACTGTAGAATACACACTTTGAAAAACAGGGCTTACGGATAGATTAGATGATTCAAGCGAAGTGTGGTGTTTGAATAAA